GCGCGGCGGTTCTGGAACCACACCTGGCCCGGGAGGGGAGGGGGGGCGGAGGAGCCGGGAGAGAGAGACCCCCGGGAAAGAAAAGCGCGAGTTAGGCGGGTGCACGGCCCATGTGAGTTCGTTTTTCAACTCCACGCGCCGCGGGTACCCCCCACGCGCACCCAGTCCACCCCGTCTGCTCCCACCCTCTTGTTGCTGGTGCATCTTCGGAGGAATTTTCTTAGGGTGACTTGAACGTGCCAAGGAAATGGCGTCTTACAGAAGAGGTAAAAAGGCGGCCGGTCCCAGGACGGCCCTAAAATAAAAGCCCTTACTTTGTTGGACCTTGGTTCAGTCTATTTCTTGAGCTACTCCAAACTCGCCAGCGGCCCTAGGCCTCGAGTCTAAGTTAAATAAACCCTAATTGGTGGAAGGAGGAGGAGTCTCTGGGTTGGGCGTTCGCTTCGCATTCTGACCTTTGGGCCTAGAGGAGCGCGCGCAGGTGCTCACCGCCCCTCCACTGGCCGGCTCCCCTGGAGAGAGCCCTGTCCCTAAAAGGTCAGAGAAAGCCTTGGTTCTTGACCTTCATGGAGTCGAAGCCCCTTTGCGAACCTGATGCAAGTAGTCGTTTCCTGGAAAATGCACCTGTACGCGCCAGCTCCAAGTTAAACGCGCGTGGATTAGGAGGCATTTGGCAAACACATATGTTTATAATATGCGGGCAGCGTCCGCATCTCCCCAAAGGGCACTGCCCGGATGCCTCCGCAGCGCTGGCTGGGGTGGAAAACACTTCGCAGCTGTGAATATGTGTGTAGCCCGTAGCGTGCGCCCAGGCCCTTCCTCTCGCGCACAGCCCTCCGCGCCTGGCCTCTCTGTTCAGCCCTGAGCCGCGGGCCCTTCGAGAGGCCCCGCGGTTCTGAACCTCCGGTGGCACCACCCGTTCCCGCGCCCACAGCCAGCCCCGGACGCCCCAGCCGGGCGCTGTCCCGGGAGCGCGTACCTGGACGCGCGCCTCCGTGAGGTCGATCTTCAGGGCCAGCTCCTCCCGGGTGTAGATGTCAGGGTAGTGCGTCTCGGCGAAGACCCTCTCCAGCTCTTTGAGCTGCGCGCTCGTGAACGTGGTGCGAATGCGCCTCTGCTTGCGCTTCTCGTTGAGGCCGCCGTGGTCGGTGAAGAGTTTGTAAGGAACTGAAGACGAGAAAGAGGACAGAGTGTGAGCAAAACGGTCTGCAGCGCGCGCGGGGGCCGCGGAGCCGGATGGTGGGGACTTCGAGGTCAGGTGTCCCCGGAGCCGCCACCGACGCCAGAGCGGGAGAGAGGCCGAGACGAGCTGCCGAGAAAAATTCGTTACATACAGACACGGGCGCCAACTGCGGGGTTTGGCGAGGGCCCTCCTGGCACAAGCGCCTTTGGGTGGGTTAACCTACAGCATCAGAGACCCCTGAGAGCCAGGACGCGGGAGAACGCTTTGATGCGGGGAAGAAACCAGAGAAGAAGGAAAAAAAGTCCGAAAACCTCAGTGGGAATATCAAGGAGCCAGGGAAGACGTTACCAAACGCTCCCGCGGTTGGAACTTTTCCATTCTCAGGAGTTGACCCAGCCCAAAAAGTTGGGGGGAAAGTGCTGCAAAAATAACAATAATAAATTAAAGAAGTAATCCTCAAAATGACCAGCCCAAGAGGTGTGAGCCGCTGTCGGGTTCTTTAAAAAAGAGACACTGCCAGTAATGAGCTTTACTCTTTGTTATTTAATTATTTTCTAAGCTTTACGTCTCATCGCAAAGTAAATAAATTATGCCTATCATTTTGGCAGCTTAAGATAATTTTGTTGGCGGTTCGGGTGTGACTAGGATAGTGTAACCCTGTAAGTGAATTACCCCTCCCTGCAATCGCTTCTAACGTGATAAATTCTTTCATTTGTGTAAGCAAATTTCGTTTGGTAAATACTAAACACATTTCCATTTTCAAATGCAATCAAGGCTTCCTATATACGGGCGGAAAGGCAGCTTCCTCGGCTGAGAAAGCCGGCGGTCCTTACCTGCGGCGTACGGACTGCTCTGGTGGTCCCTGAGGGTGCCGAGGCTGCAGGATCCCGGCGTGAGGGACGGGCAGCCGGACGTGGCCCCAAAAGTGGTCCTGATCGGGTTATACTGGAAGCCACTGGCCTGGCTGCAGGAACTGAAGTCTGCATAGGCTGAAGCCAGGCTGGAGGTGTCCATCCCAGCCATACAGGACTCGTAGGCAGAGGAATTGAGGTAAGAATATTCCATTTTATACATTGAAAAGGCTCTGGATGGCTCAGCCAGGTGGAAAAATGAAATCAAAGATGGGTATGGAGAAGGTGGCTGGAGTGGGGAGATGTGCACAGCTCCACGCCTGCCTCCAAACTGGCCTCCTTACTACCAGCAGAGCCTAGTTTTATGAAAAAGCCTCCTATGAGATGCCTTGTCTGAGGTCTCTAGAGCATATAGTCCTCATAATAAACTTGGCTCTTTCCACTTGGACAATAGCAAAGCGGTTGGTCTTATTGCTGGCGCTTTTTACATGACAATAACTCATCCGTCTATTGGGCTGGCACTGGGGAACTGAGCTGTCCAACCTCCCTATCATTGATTCCTGCATCTCTAATTAGAATTTAATACCACACCATTACGCACTGAGCCCCTGATCCTCCCTTCTAACCAGCTCCCTGCCCTTTAATTCAATCACACTACTTGGAAATAATGAAAGTTGGGTGACGATTCTCCCTGATCCAATTTCCCCGAGCTTTTAAGCCTTTTTAACTGATCATATACCTTAGGCATAAATTGAGATGGTGTGTGTGTGTTTTCCCCCTTCTTCGTCCTCTTTTTCCCCCCTCGGTTAGGAAGAAGAAACCTTGATGTCATAGAAAACCTGTTTTGTAAGAGCGTTACACGCTCAATTTAACAACAAGCCTACCCCCCGAAGTGCATGAAATGTTATAAAGGACTGGGACATTGGCAAGACTCAGGCGCCCTGTAACATAGAGTAAGTGAGCCAAGGGGGTTTATGTGAACGATAAGCGAATTTCTTTAAAATACACCTGGTAGAGGGTTTGTTTTTGTTTTTTTAAAAAAAGAGCATCTTATAAATTGCATTTCTTGTCACGGCTTCATGTGCTTTTCTAGACACTCAGCTTACACTGTCGCTTAAAAAGAAATAAAAGAACAATGCTCTTGAATGTAAATCATCTGAATTCTCAAACGATGGCTTCTTTGCGCTCAGCTCAGTCTTTCTGCCTTAGCGTGAGGTTAGCATTTTGTTGGTTTGGGGGTTCTGTGCAGCTGTTCATTTTAATGACGCCCTAACTAGCAAGTGAACTTGCAATATCCCCAAATGTGTCTCTTCCACCCCACTAGGGTGCCCTCCCTCTCTTTTTTCTGCCTCCACTGTTTTAGGTGCTCACAGCCGCCCCCCCCCCCCCCCCCCCCCCCCCCAGACCCGAGGATGGCTATCTGTTTGCCTTTTAGGTTCACTGACTACAGTGAGAGAATCCTTACTCTTTAAATGCCCAGGTTCTAGGTTGGGCATTTTTCTTGTCCAGTTCCTCGGGCTCTTTGGGTGCTAGCGGAAAGGCAAACAAAGAATTCTGCAAACGGTGATTTGTGGACCTCGGTGGCCCCATGATTTAAGCGGAGGGTAATTTTCATTTGGTTCGTTAGGCTCTAGCAGAATAAGGGAAACTATTTCATTAAATCCTTCCTCTCGGTGGACAAGAGGGGGAATGCTTAGTTGAATCGCCGTGTGGTGTAAACAAACCCTGGATATTTTATATGAATTAAATGTGTAGATAATTAGTTTTATTGCATTCATTACCCCCTTTATGTGCTCTGTAACAAGTCAGTAATTAAAGTAACAAACTCATAAAGTCTTTATAGGGGCATTTAGGCGTTCAGTGTTTGCCAAACTAAGTGGTTTAATTCGATGCTAGTGCCGGGGAGTGGATGGGCGCCCGCTCTCCGCTGCCACGGTGTTTTATTGCGCACTAAACTGCAACGGACGCCGCAATGGATTAAACCCAGACAGCGGCCCCCCAGCCCCGCGCTGCTCCGCCCGGTGAGTTTCAGGTGATGGGGCGTCCTCTGGACTTGAGCAAGCGCTGCTGGCGCGAGTGCAGGCAGCCGGGCCGCCGAGGAACCTGCTGATAGTTTTATGGGGAGGGCTGATGGTTTTATTGCAGTTGCATGTTGTACAATGCGTATTTGATAAAGAAGGGCCCTTGGTCACCAATGTGCACTTTTTTGTGCACGGGGGCGAAATGAAAATAAATGCGCGCAAGGTTTTACTGCGGTGGCAAACAAATGGCCACGCTCTAAATGGTTTTTCTTTACGGTCACCAGACAAGAGGAGAAAAGAGATGCAAGCATCTGTCTCCAGTCCCCTAAACCTAAAGGCCGGCAGAGACGGATGCGAATCCAAGTGGCTTACAGTGGGGATCTGTCTTTATTTATGGCTCTCATGAATATGAATCTGCTTTTGGGCCGGGAGGTGGCTGTGCCCCTGTGGACGCTGCACGTGGAATTTCCCCACCAGGAAGGACTTAGCCTGCCCCCACCTTCGGGGTTGGGCGGGGGTGGGGGGTAGGTTGTCCAGCACATGGCTGAGATCGGCCAAGTTTTTGGAAGCCCTCGGACTCTGGGGTGGGCGTGTGCTTCCCAGTTTTCCCCTGCGACCCTGCCGCCCCAGGCCTGAATTGGAGGATGGAAATTTGGGGAGCGGGCCTGAATGGCACCCACCCCCTGGGCCGCTCAACTCCCCACCCCGTTTCTGTGGGCTTCAAGCGCTTTTCTCTGGAGAATAGGGTAGCATAGAATGGGTGTCTGGGAGGGAATGCGTTTTGGCTTCAAGGTCGGTGCTTGGCAATAACCAGGCCCACACCCCTCCTGGCACCCACTCCTTGGTGCACCCTGAGCTGTGTCTCCGCGCGCGCGCCCTCAGCTCAGGACGCTGCATCCCCGCCTCGCGCTGCCGGGGTC